AGTAGCTTGCTTGAATGTGAAAAAAGAGTTTTAATTAAAATTACAACTAATGTTTGTAAAGATCTGTTTTAGCTAGCTTCCCTAGAAAATTGGTGCTGGTTGTAATTTCCCATATTTAGCCCTGAGGCAAAGAATGCTTATATGAAGCTTTGGAGAAAACTGATCACAGCACCTCTAAATTTAAAGTCATCAAAAATAACCAGTGCAGAAAGGACTGACTTCAGTCCCCTTTGGTGTTTCTACAGTCCAGTCTTCATGAATATTGATGTGCTGCCTCTATTCAAATTCCTGCTCCTGCAGTTTGGGTATTTTTGGCTATTGATGTCAATAAAATAAAATTAAACAGTGCACAACATTAAAGTGACTTCATTTTAGAAGTCTTAATTCTCACATGTAAACCAGAACTCTTAAAAGGTCCTAATTTCCAAAACCTTTTGAAAGTTATCCCCCTTAAGTGCTTTTATTTGAAAATTAAGAGAAAAGCCATTATTCACACCTGAAAATTGTAGATGTGAGGTCCAGCGTAAATGAAGGTGTCTCTTGGCTGACTTGAATTATGCAGTCATGTTCTTAACCTGAGATGTGTGAACCTCCCTTTCGTTCAATGATGGCCTCGTATGTTTAGCTTGTAGGACTGGGGTTTGGACTTATCTGACAGGCCCTCTTTAGCAAAGCTAATTTTTTTTTCCTGCTTGTAACTACTTGACTTCTTTGCAATGTTTGCTGACTGTCAAAATCTGTCAAGTAACAGTGAATCTTGCATAAGAGATGAAGAAGCATTAAAATTGGTACAGGACACAAACGCATTAACATCTGCTGTTTTATTTTGTCAGTCTTACCAGTAAAGCATAGAGCAGTCATTCTGTGGGATGCATGCAAAATGAATTGTTTCTGCACTTCTGAAGAGATATCTGATGTCAGAAAGACTAGTGCTGTAAACCAAAGAGCCATATAGGAAAAACTTTTACCTTGCTGATAGTTGTTTGCTTTAAAAACTGCTATCAGGTATAAAAATAAACTTCACTACTGCATAGAATGCTCACCAGTGAAGTTCATTCTTAATTCAGTTCCCATGTCCCAGTTGACTTTGAATCTGAATTAGACTAAGGACTGATGATATATCATGCTGAGAGCAGTGAAAATTTTCAGGCACAGAAATGCTACAAGGTGGCTGTGGTACGTACTAGCTTCAACATTTCCCAATGTTTGCAAACAGTACTTGATAGCTAACTTAAAGAAACTATACTAAAAAAGAAAATGAAAAAAAGCAGTGTTGCATTACATCAAACTCAATTTACAGAACTTGAACTGAAGACCTTTCTAACACCTACCTTGTAACTCTTCCTTGCAGTGGTCGTAATATTAGTTGGATAAATTGGTATGCAGCACAGCCTTGCTGTTTGTACAGTTTCCAAACTAGTTACTGTAAGAAACAGCACTAGAATAATGCTAGGATAATCCACATCACTGATTTACAGACGCTAGGAAACACCACAGCTTGTCTCTATGTTAATTCAAATCCTTTTAAACTGGAACTGATACTTTAATTTGTTAATGGACCATTGATTAGTATTCAGTAACAGTGCAATTAAAAGAAATTCACTCGTGAAAACGTTTTCCTTTACAATCCAACTGAATCTGCACTGATTTGTTGAGTTTTTTGAGAGGTAAAGTGTGAATCACCAATGTCCTAAAATGTAAACAGCTTTCTTGCATTATCTTCCATATTGATTGCCAAATTCAATTTTGTGTGTTTATCTGATACTGGCTAAAATTTCCACAAGAGTGACAGATGGAATTTCAATCAAATTTGGCACCGTATGTTCTCAGAAGTCTTAGACTTGCAGCAGCAAATGCTCTGGAGGTGGGCTGCAAAGCCTCCTTACACCTTAAGCAACTTTACATACATAAGCAACTTGGGAAGCTGTTTGGACATGAGAGAACCCATTAAAATCTTTTTAGAGCAAAGCTCTGGAAGGTACCTTAATCCACGTGCAGCTTTCTGCCCTCTGGGGTCCTTCACTGTGCAACCAGCCCAGCCTGATTCCTGTCCTGCACTACAAATGCTCCCTGTGTTTGCAGCTTTTCACGGCCGTTGCTCCAGGAGCTCTCAGATTAACAGCAGCATAGTCGCAACTGCAGCAGCTCGGCGACCCTGTGGTTAGACAGTTAGACGTGTTAAGTTGTACCTACTTGAGAACGTAACATCGATAATTCCTGTTGATGTCCAGATGTAACCCTTACCAGATGATCCGCAGGCCCTTCCCTTGGTATGCATCAACAAAATTCTGTTTTGTCTGTGTAGGAACTGTAGAAAATCGCGCTTTCCAAGGCACGTCCCTGAGCACCGCTGCTCCCTCACGACTCGGCTGCGCTCGCCTTCTCACAGCGAGCCTCGCTCGGTTCTTTTCCACACACTGAGCACCGCTTTCTGTCAGTTCCCCCTCCCGCACCCTTGGCCTTCCCGGTTGAGCTGCATCTCTCTGCCCGCACAGCCCCGCACCACACACCACGTGTGCGCAGGCCCTTTTTCCTGCGGCAGCCACAGAGCAGAAAAGCTTCAGAGCCGCCTCGAGCGCAGGGACAGAGCGTACAAACCGCCCGAAGGGGACGCGCGAAGCGCCAAACATGGCGCCCATCGTCCCTACAGACCAAGGCGAATCTGCCGCCACCGAGCGCGCGACCCAGGGCGGGCACCAATCAGAAGGCGGGGCTCGGGCCCCCGGCGCAGGCGCGTGACGAGAGGTCGGCGCAGCAGAACGGAGGTAGCGGCGCATGCGCACGGCGGCTGTCGCGGCTCCGGAACCCGGCGGTCACCATGATGTGGTTCGGGGGCTCCATCCCGGCCGCCATCGCCGCCGCCAAGCAGCGGAGCTCGGTCTTTGTCGTGTTTGTGTCAGGTACGGCCGGCAGGAGCGGGGCGGCGGCGCCGAGCGCCGGGTCTCGGCCTCCCCTGCGCTGACACCACGCCCGCGGCCGCCGGGCCCTGCCCTGCCTTGCGGGCCGCGAGCGGCGGGCGAGCGGCTGGTCCGGTCCAGTGCCGTCCGCACGGGGCCGCCGAACCGAACCGAAGCGCGGGACGAGCCCGTCCCGGCGTGTCCGCGGCCCCGCGCGCTCCTCTCCTCGGCCGCTCCTCCGCCAGCTGCGCTGCGCCCCGCGGCGGGCGCTCATCCGTGCTGTGTCAGCGCGGGCCGTGGCGGCGTGCCGTGCCTCCGGGCCGGGCAGCGCCGGGCGCCGCTGATCGCGTGGAACGCCGCGCTCGATCCGCGAGATTTCCCTTTCGGGCCCTCCGTGCCGTTAGTCGCGTAATCGACACGTTGGAGGAAGTGAACTCGCGCTGTCTCGGTGCAGAGGAGCGAGGAGGAGCCGCTGCAGTGCGGCTGTCCCGTGCTGCTCGCCGTACTGCGGAGCGCCGTCGGCCCGACTGGGGACGCGGGCTGCGAGCTTCCGGGCGGCGTCTGAAAGCCCTGATAACGTGATGGCATCTGTGCCGAACCGCTTTTAACGCGCCTTTATTAGTTCTGTTCGTTTCTCTGCCTTTTCCTTAAGCATTCTTCAGCGTGTTTGCTTTCAGAACTGACGTTACCGACGGGTTGTATGTAACTACGTGCAAAACCGGGTGGTAAGCAGGAGGAAGGCAGCTGCTCTGCGATGCTCCACATCGCCAGGGTTAGACATGTTCTGTTGGATTTCTCGAATGTCTCACATTCTTAAAGATTTTTACTCGCGTTCAGAACCCGTGACTCAGGCTGGGGATAAGTGTGTGACTGCAGGGATGTAGCCTTGCTTTGATACTGTAACAGTTGCGTGGTGGTGATGTTGAATCTTCGTGCTGCAGACTGGCCCATAGGACAAGCGTTCCTAATTCAGCTGCCTGAGCAGGAAGAGATGCTTTCAGAAGTGTTCCTTGGAGGTGCTTTGTACACTTTGCTCAGTGATCTATGGGGGACAAAACATCAATTAAATGGAAAAATGATAAATAGTAAATACAAATCAACTGTGATTGTAGTACAAGCACTGTGAAGGACAGCTAGCTACTAGATTCAGTCTTGACGAAAATAATTGAAGTCTGCTTGGTTCATTGCTTTTTGTTTGGTTCCTACTACCATCTGCCTGTCCGTCTCTTCCAGTTTGCTGCTTCTCTGGACAAGCACCTGGAATGAAGAACTGGATTATTCCCTCTGACTCTATTTCCTACAGGCAAGCTGTAATGTGGCTGCTTAGCTTAACAATGAGGCAGTGTTTGAAGCTGAAGTTGCGTGTTGTTCAACCAGCTTTTTTTTTTCCAGCATTTCTGTTCATGGACTTCGTAGTGTAGTTTTAAACCTTCCTAACATAGTTCTAGTTGGGATCTTACGTGCACTGGCATATCTCATGGATGCCTCTGCTATCTTCTTGGTAGAGTTCTGTAAATGGCTTTCCATCCTGCATGGTTAGAAGACTCCTTTAATGTTTTTGAGATATTTAATCTTAAGTTAATAGTTTGTTTCCACATGAAACTTCCTTGGGTGCCTGCTCTGTTCTGGTTGGGGTGGGTAAGATTATTTCTTTCCAGACACTAGGCGTGTTCTAATACTGAAAATACCAGGCTGTGTTTAAGAGGTGCCTTTTCAGGAGTGCAAAAGGAGGGGGCTGTGGGGTAGAGAAAAAAGCACTTCCAGCTGAAGTGTTTGTGTTTCTGTTTAGAAACATTTGTAGGAACAGCCCTTTGATTATAACTTTTATTTTTAGGATTTTTTGTTCTTTAACAAAAGAGCGATTTGCAGTCAGCTGGTTATTTGTTAGTGCTTTCCTGCTAAGCTGTATCCAAGCCCTTTTCAAGTTAAACGTGTGAAGTAACACGAGGCAGAGGTGAGCAGACCCATATTCCAGCTTGCTGTCATTTCCAGAATGGGCAATCCTTGCCCTCATTGAGGAGCTAGGAAATGCAGGTTGATGAGCAGCAGCCAGCCAGCTCCTTCTGTAAGGGAGACATTTGTCCCTGATGGCTGCGTGCTGAACAAGCTATGAAGTTTTGATTTGTTGGTTTTATTTTCGGACTGAGGATCAGGGGAATTAAGTCCTTTGGCAACCTGGGGTGGTTTTGAATAGATTCCTCTTACAGGAACTCGGTCATTGCAGATGAAGTCTTTTCAGTGATCTGAACCTCATGGCAGGTGATGGATACCTGTCCCTGTGTGGAGCTCTCACTTGACCTGACCACGGTGAAGAGATTGGTATGTGTGACTGAGAGTTGTGTGCAGCTTGTAGATTGCTGCTAAGTGAAGTCAAGTTATGTGTGGGAAATCTGAAGGTCTTGGGAACAAGAGATCCGAGGCAGTTTGTAATAACTCGGTGTTTTGCTGAGATATGAATTCTGCCAGTAATGTTGATTGCGGCCTCTCAGCTTTCTCCATGCCTTTCACATTTCGTTTTCAGGATACAGTTACTGGGACAAATGAACATGAGCTCCCAAGAGGGAGAGGGTTATTAGCAAAAAGATACCCAAGTAGCTATTCTGTAGGTAGTCCCTATGCTAAAGTGCTTCATGAGGTACAGTTTCACAGAAGGTGATTTATCAGCATTTTCCTTCCTGGATCACAGCTCTTGGAGACTGCACGGTGAATAACCTGACCTGTTTTTGTCCTTCAGCATTCTTTTGCCAACTGCAGCAGTTGTTTGTCTGGAAAAGTTACCATTAGGCAAGTCTTGAGGTATTTTTAGTAGCCTAATCGGATGAGCACATGTGAAAGTGTGTGCAGCACAGCGGCTCCATCCGAGTGTGTTTGGGGGGGGAGAGGCTGCACCACTGGGCAGAACAGCTGCGGCCACCCGCTGCACTTGGTTCCCTAAAAATATCCTGAATGTGAACTTGGAGTACATAGGCTGACAGGAACAGAGATTAATGCTTCTAGGGAAAAATCAATACGTACAGATGGAAAACACTTCTCCAGAAGCAGCGTGTTTTGTATTGGTTTCGTTCTGAGCAGCATTGCAACCCGTCCCGACCTTAAGGGAGCAAGGCTTCGCAGGGGCGCTCCTGGTCATTCGTGAGTAAAAGATACTGTGTGAAACAGTGACTGGGATGAAACAGTTTGTTGTTGAATAAGGGGCTTCTGTACTAGGAAGCCACTATGTGACTCTTCATCGAGAGTGCAGTCAGTTCCAAGCTGCTAGGAAATAACTGAAATTAAAGATAAACAAATACTTGTAGGCCGGTGCACTTGTGGAAAACTGATTAACGTTCACCTGAGCTTATTGATTAACCCAAATTCCCACTGAACTGGTGCTTTAGAATACAAAAGTGATTAAAATCAAATTTTTAACATTTGAACAAACAAAACAGTTGTGAATTTGTGGCCCTTCTTCAGTTTCCTTTACTGACATAGCTGCTCTTCTGTTCCTGGGTGCTCCTGACTCCTTTTTGTCCATTCCCACTGTTACTGTTCATGTCAAGAATTGGAACACAAAAGTGATAAATCTGTGAACAAGGCTTTTTTTTAAATTATCAAATTCTGAAGCCTTGTGTACTGAATTTCTAAGAGATGGAAGTGTAGTTTTACCTGCGTTAGCAGCTGCTGTACTTAGTACTACTATGTACTTAAAGTTATTAGGAAGGACAAGCAGTGGATAGCAGATCAAACCCAAAGGCAGGGAGAAGCAGTGGTTCGTTCCAACTGCTGTGGGATCTCCTTGCAGATTACAAGAGCATAGCAAACAGGACACGAAAGCGTAAACATGCTCCCTGTAACGTGAAAATGCGGCCCATGGGCAGTTGTGCAATGAGGTGATGCAATCAAGCCAATCCCCAGGCTGCCATCAGTTCCTGCTCCTTTATCCCTGTTCCATCTGTGTGGTCCAGTCCCGTCTGCTCCCTGGACCAACTTGCCATGCAGCTGAATGAGTGTGCAAGCTACGTGCTTGCTGTCTTGGAAGGATTTTTGGTATATTTGCCTTTTTTTGGCATGTTAGCGAGATGAATCAGCTGGAGTGAATTACCTCCAGATTATAGGAAAGAAAAGAAGATTAACTGATTTGAAAATAATTGAGAGAGTGTCCTTCAACAATTCAACAATTTCAAGCAGCTGAAGCAGAGCTGAAGTCAGAAGCAGATTGTTCAGCTTCATGCATGTTGTGTTTGCAGGTGAGGATGAACAGTCTGCTGAGATGGCTGCAAGGTGGGAGGACGCTCAGGTGACCGAGGCTGCCTCCGATGGCTTTGTTGCTATTAAAATCGACACCAAAAGGTTTGATTCAACTCTAATTCTGTCTCTTGCATGATCTTTCACTGATGATGATAGAAGTGTGAGGCATGGGAAGTCCTCTCCCTGCTCTGGAGGAATTCTGAACGCAGTGTTTGAGAACATAAGTGAGATCAGTACTGCTGAAGCCACCGGAACCTGAGAAAACTGAAAATTTGCAAATGTACTGCAGTGTTGTGCCGAATATTTCCTGCATGTTTCCTACTGGTTTCAGCATTAGTAAAAGAATGCTTGAGGATGTCCTCTTTCAAGAGAAGAAAATGCAAAAAAGGCCAAGTAAAAATAAAGTGGAATCAAAATGCAAGTACACTCGAGGCAATCCTTTGTTCAGTAGGATAGGTCTGTGAGGCCCCAGAGAAATTCTCTCCTTTGTAACACACAGCGCAGAAGCGTTGAGGCTTCTGGATAAATTACTCAATTTTGTTAGAATAAGAACTTCAGTTCCAGTGAGCAGTGTGTTGACGTTTCCAGAAGTTGCATTATTTTAAAAGGCTCTGCAGACCTCTTAGAAGACATGCTGCATTGTTTGCACTCAGTGGGTTAGATGCCTCTTTCCTCAATTGCTTTTCAGCACTGCTTCCATAAATAATCTACTGCAGTCAACTGTGATCAGCAGGGATTGATAACACTTATGCAAAATTATAATGAGAAGATGCAATGTGAGTTTGCTTGTAGCGTTCTCTCAAGTATTTAAATAGTTCCGTGTGTGGTGGTAGAACAGTTATTTTTATGATGAAAGGCTTAATCTAAAGTTGTTGCAAAGTGATTGCTCTTCCTCAATGTGGATTTTTTTCTTTTTCCCAGTGAAGCCTGCCTGCAGTTTTCTCAAATTTGTATCCTTTGAAAACAATTTAGCTATGTTGTGATTACAGTAATTTCTCTCTACAAGTTAAGGCTGCTCTTAAATATAAACAGTATTATTAAAAAATCTATCTTACTGCACAGAAATAAATAATAAGCTGTTATTAAATTGTATTGTTACATATTCAGCTTACCGTTAGTTCTTAAAGAAAGTGAGCAAGTTTGTTTAATGTTAATGCTGTGCAGTTCTCTTAATAGAGTTACCCAAAGCTTTATGTAACAGAATAACTAATAACTAAAATGCTAATCAGCATTAAGAAACAAACAAACAACAACAACAACAAAACCTTTAAACTGTTATCTGAAGCTCAGAATTAGAGAGGAGGAGGGACAAATAGTTGAGTTGGGTTTGCCAGAAGCACAGGCATGAGGTTAGGTAAGCTTCCCCTGCCTTAAGTAGGTTGTTGCTTATAGCTCAGGAATTCTGTCTGATGCTGAAAAAGAATTTGGTGCTTGGATTTTCGCAGTGCTGTAAAGCATTCAGTATTACCTACGTAAGAAGTCATATTGCACAAACGTGAAGTCTTTCAAATCAAAGAGGAATTGGTAGTTGGGTATGTCTGTCTGAGAAAAAAACTTTGGCTCAAACAATTTCAAGGAGAAGGTGAAATACTTATCAGTTGTATATCAGCGTGTTTGGTGGCTTTGTTTTTCTTCCTCCCCTGATATATTCAACTAGTTACCAGGTGGAGATAGAATACTGAGTGGAGATATTCAGCACCTAAGATTTCTTTTCCTCATAACGTTACTTTATAAATTTGTTGTCAGGCATTGCCCTTAACTGCTGCTGTGCAGATCCTGTAGTGTGCGTTCCATCCAGTTTTTTTATAGGAGACAATGGAATCCCTTTGGAAGTAATTGCTGGCAGCGTTTCTGCTGAGGAGC